TTTTTTTCTTTTTGATTTTTTACCTGGATTACTGAGATGCATCAGGACAAATGAAATTCTATGTGTTGTGTTCAGGGTTTCACCTTTGCAATGTTCATAACACACAAGTGTAAAAAAAACTGCACACAAGCAGTGAGATGATAAATTCTTTTTATTATCATTTTTATTAAATACATTTTCTGTTTCCTGTCTCTGTAGTGAACCACCGAGTGAACTAGCAGAGAAACCAAACCTGACGTGGCTCGATGCTGCTCAGGTATTATCACATTCATCATCAGCATCCTCATTCATGGCTTGATTTGCTTTTATATTTGTTTTTATTTGTATTTGTTTTTTATTTTTTTAAGTTTACTGTTACTTCTGTTTGGTTTTATGAATGAATGAAACATCAGCAATCTCTACTGATGTGTCATTGCATTTAAATTTTTTGGCAACATGTCYTTTTTGCTTTTCTTCATTTCTCCAGATTGTCTTGGAGGAAGCTGGACGGCCCATGCACATAAAGGAGATCAAACAGAGAATCATCGACCGGGGACTTGTTCAGTCAAAGTACAGCAATCCTCCTCATTTGACAGCTAAATATCATCCTTCATTTTGATTTCTACCTGAACTCTCTCTGTCAGTGCAATCTTTGACGTTAGAATGCATCGATTTCATTGATGCAGCAAAAAGATTATGACAGGGGTGTCTGATTCTGGACCTCAAGGGCCACTGTCCTGCATGTTTTAGAGGTTTCTCCGCTCCAGCACACCTGAATGAGTGATTAACGGGCTTCTGCAGAACTTGAAGAGGTGCAGGTAATTCGGTCACCGAATCAGGTGTGTTGGAGCAGAGGAACAASTAAAACATGCAGGATAGTGGCCCTCGACAACCACTGGTCCATGACGAATGATTGAATATAGATTTAGTAAACCTACGTGTGACAGTTTACCCTGATCCTCTGTCCTTGACAGTGCAAAGTCGAGCCTGGAAGCCGTCATGTACCGCGAGGTAAGGCTCWGCTCACTGATGGTGAGCCCTGCATCATAAAAGAGAACAGCTCACTCACGTATTATTAGCATCAGTGTCTTTTAATTTCTCCARGTTTGTTCCATCCTGCTTTTGTTGACCTTGTCCTGCAATCCTTACAAAGACACAGGCGGTTCTTGGCTGGGATTGGATTAAATTAACACGCAAAACAAAAAAACCCTAAACCCTGCTGTGTTCACTAACTGTAGAGCTGAGCTAAACGGACCCAGAGATCTTTGGAGGTTAAAAAGCGAGTGTTTTTCCAGCCCCACGTGCGTTCGGCCTCAGTCTCACATTATGTTTCAGACACAAAAAGGAAGCAGGCGTTTCAAGAGGATTGAAAACAGAAACGGAGTCTTTGCATTACTGGTGAGTTCTCTGGGCTCCTAACGAGCACTTTCAAACAAAACCTTAAACGGTAGAAGATCATGAACTTGACTGTTAGTGAGGCTTGTTATTCACACATTTCTGACTAAAATGACATGTTTTAAATGGCGTCTATAATAAAGTTATGCCAAATGGAAAAYAATACATTGCAGAAGTGGTACAGTTTCTCTTGGGAAATTTAATGGTTTTTGATCTTTTAGGTAACTGATGAGTATTTGTGCAAAGATGCACGTGTCTGTGGTTAAAGTGTACAACTTGACCTGTAAACTGTCCCCGATCAGGTTGGAGAGAAATGAGAACCTGAACAAAATGCTTTATTCTCTTTATCCTCAGTTTTTCGTGCAGCATTTCATTTTTTTYTTTCTGTCTACATTTCACCATCCTGAGCGCAAACAGGCGCTTCGTCWTCAGATATTTTCAACACGTGTTTATGTCCCCCGCCCCCGGCAGACTGATGAGGAGCGGCAGCAGGCRCTGCAGGCCTTCACCGCTCAGGCCTTCCTTACTTCGCCCTCGCTGAACGCCGCCTCCGGCTCCGGTGCCTCAGCGCCCGCCTTCCCGTCTCCCAGCAGCTCCTCGGAGCCCAAGCCCAAGGCCAAGAGGGGCTCACGGAAAAACCTGAACGAGAAGTACAGACTGAAGTACCTGAGGCTGCGCAAAGCTGCCCGAGCCATGGTGTTTGTAAGTYAATCGTGTATTTAAAGCTGCTGTTTTCACACAAAAACTTGATTCACTCGGATAGGGGAATCATCAGCAGTAAAGATGAAGAACATTTATTTATCTTAATAAGGATGTTGTCTGACCAGAACTGAAGCTAATAAATCAATAATTTAAAATTACCATAAATGTATAAAGCATATGTAATCACTGTTAATTATTGAATTGGCTAGCAGATATTAGCTTATGTAGCATACATTGCTATACAGAGTGTAGCACTGCTGAATCATGCTTTAACAGAAACTATAAAATATAACAAACTGGTTTTGCCTCTGATTTATAAAATATTAATACAGTGTCAAATAATATACAACATTTTACTGATTTTAGGTTTCTATTGGACAAACCTGATCTGATGGTTAGCTAAAATCAATAGAGACAAGTTTCATGCTAAAGTATCACCAGGTCTAAAAGTTTTTATTATTACAAATTTTATTCCATTATAATAATTATTATTACTATTATTATTATTTATGACTGTAAAAAATAATAAAAATAATTTATTAATTTAATTAATCATTTTTAAACTACCTAAAAAGTTCGTTTTAGATCATTATTTATAAATCATATTTTTCTGTTTATATAATCTGCTGCTTTACATGGTTGTTGAATGAAATGAARYTAATTAACAATTTATTGTAAAAKGATTAAAGATAATGTGTGACAGATCCAGTTGGGCTTGCTGTCAATCAAATAGTTGCTATGACGACTGAAAGGCGACGCCCTGTTTTCTCGCCATTTTCGCTCCTCCATGTTGTCACAGATGCTAACCGTGGACGGAGTAGGCGGGGCTCAATTTAGTGATATTTACCTTTTATTTACAGCATACATTAATATGTGCYTATTTATTAATGAGAAAAGGTTCATCTCTAGCCTGACTTTCATTCGTTTCTCCTCCTCAGGAGAACGCAGCTCTGTGTGACGAAGTCGCTCACATAGAGGAGAAGTTTCTTCGAGCGAAGGAGGAGCGCAGGTGAGTGCAGGGATGAGTCTCAATAAAGTCACATAAACATGATGCTCACTACTTATCATGGCCAAGTTTCAACCTTTTCATAAATTACCATCTTTTTTTTTCAGGTTCTTACTGAAGACGCTGCTGCAGTACCAGTCTGTTTCAGAGGGAGACGTTCTGCCAACGCCCAGCTCAGTCCCGCCTGTGCCGCCCGTGGCGTTGACCTCAGGTCCKGCGGGGCCGTCGGGCCTCTCCGTGCCCCATAGCTTGACGTCAGTGGTGTCACCGGGAGAGGAAGCGCTGCTCAAGAAACCCAAGAAGGAAAGGAAAGAGCGAGGGAAGGAGAATGGGAAGGAAGAACGTAAGTGTGGGGGAAGACATGTTTTTGTGTGGTTGATTGATTAATGGAYGGCTCAAGTTGGACAAGAGGCTGTTTGAGTCAACATCTGAGGCTACGTTCACACTGCAGGACTTTATGCTCAATTCTGATTTTGAAAAAAATCTGATCTTTTGATGTGAACGTTCACACAAAAAGATCYSATTTTTTCAAAAAATCGGAACTGAGCATTAAGACCTGCAGTGTGAACGTAGCCTGAGTCTCTGACTGTCCCTTGTCTCGACCGTGGCCTGTTGGAATGGATCAAATTCCCTCCTTTACAGACTGATTGCCTCCAACGTTTGTGCAAAATATTCAGTTAATCTTTTCTCCTGATGAGATGTTGTTTCWGTGACCTTTGTGAAACGGCATCAGTAATTTTACAAATACTTTTCAATTCATTTAACTCAACACATAGCAGATGTGTTTTCAAGTGGGGTTCCATGGAGTGGTTATGAACAGTTAGTATCTTACCAGTTGTAGAAAACTCAGTGAACAGCCTGGATTTGGAGAAATAATTCTGTCTGCACTGATGAACTAGGGCCTATTCCAAGCAGAGTTAAGACTAAAAACTTTCATTACAAAAAAAAATGTCTAAATTTTATAATTTCATAGACATTCATGCAAATGTTGTTTTATAAATGTTAAGGTCATCATCTGTTTTGTGTTCCTTGATTATTCTGGCAGAATTATTTATTCTGTTACCATCAGAAGTTCCTCATGCTGCATCGGAAGTGCTACAGCTGCTGCCATTTGCACTTACTTATATCAATCAATCAATCAATCAATCAAAGGTAAATTTGATTACACTGAAGTGAGTCAGCTTTGTTTCAAAGTACACAAGACACATGACATAGATATACTGTAGACGCATGATTAAATAAAAAAATCAAAAATAAATACAGTAAATAATAAATGTCATCTCCAAAAACAATATCAGAATGAAAAGATAAGACAAGATAAAATCAGATAGGACCATATAAAAAACCCAGTAAGACAAAAATTAAACACATCAAAGCAAGATAAATATTTGATAAGACATAAAAATAGCTACAAAATGAAAACTTGTCTGCAGTGTAGAAGTTTACAAAAATAACATTTTAATGATGTTTTTAAGGTTTTGTGTGTTTAAAGACGGCATCTATCCACTTTGGTGGTAACTCTGCTCAGACTAGCCATTAGCTTGTCATGGTCAGAGTAAAACTAATTTTTTCCAAACTGCGAGAGTTATCTGCAACAGGTAAGATATTTGTTTATTTTCTTTACATTTTTTGCAACTCTTTTTACTAAATTCTAACGTATCACTTTAAAAGTCTAAGTTAATATTTAATCAGAAAATCTCGGCCCAGTGGAGTAGACAAATGTTGACGCTAACATGAAAGTAGACATGAGTCCTATGCGTGATTAATAATCTGAAGCTTGATCTTTCAGTTCCAAAGAAGATGTCAAAGAAGAGGAAGCTGGCAGACGGGTCACGCAGGCTGGTGCAGCCCATCGCTCTGGACTCGTCGGGTCGCCCAGTCTTCCCCATTGCCCTGGGAGGTTTAACGGTCTACAGTCTGGGAGAGGTCAGAGTGGTGATTAAACAAATAATAAACCTATATTCAAAACAAGACATGGATTTATTTAGCAGAAACAAACCGCCTGTTTATTTATTTTTTCTCAAACTCAACCGTCTGCAGATCATCACAGACAGGATGCTGTTCCACGATGAGTGTGCCATCTACCCAGTGGGTTTCTGCAGCACGCGGGTCTTTGCCAGCATGAAAAACCCCGAGCAGCAGTGCCTGTACACCTGCCAGATCAAAGACGGGGGGGCGGGGCCACAGGTAACACCAACACACATCCATCAACACAATAAATTTAGCAGGATTCYTTTTCACAGATACCTCTTTGTTGCTCTTCTTTAGTTTGAGATTGTGCCTGAAGACGATCCTCAGAATGCCATCGTGGCCTCCTCCGCTCTGATGTGCCACTCAAACCTGCTGAAGGCCATCGCCTCCAACAGGTAACACCCATCACCAACATCTGGACTCATTTCATTCTCATATTAACAAATAGGTCTGGGGTTCTAAGTTTCAGTCTTAAGGTGGACTCAGACTTTTCAAGAAAGGAAGAAATTTTCTCTCTCTGACATAGTTGAGTGACAAAAATTATGTTTTGTTCTCTGAGAACCAGTTCTGTGCACAAGGTAGTCTTTATTTTTATTTTTCAGGTTTGTATATCAATTATTGCATAGCCTTTGATTTCAAGTAGGGGTCTCTGCAGTACATGTTGTCATGTGGGCGGAGACGGTCCTACCCATGATTGGCGAAGTTGGTGTGTGGGCGGAGTTTTCCCTAACCGTGATTGGTAGGATTGACACGTCTTGTGGGGCAACTTAAAGGGGGAATATCATGTAAAAATCTACTTTTTTGAGTTTTATTTCATGTTATAATGTTATACTCTCATAAAAAAACATGCCCAAAGCCTTGCTCTGACTCATTCATGCATGTTTGAGAAATCCTGCAGTGTTTTTAGGAAGCCATGCTGAGGAGCAAAARGACAGGTGGGGACCAGAAACGCCCCTGGGACGTGTCTTTAAGCCGAACTTCCTCACGGTAGAGCACACCCCTTCCCCACACAACCCGCCCATGTCTCCTGCAGGCTCTCGGGTGAAAGTGAAACCTAACTGTCTGCTGAGCTCTTAACACCACTTCTTACTCAGTGAAGCTCTTTTCAGATTAAAAATACCTCTGAGAAGAGGAGTTGTTGAGAAGATAAGTTTATTTTCAATTTAAACATAAAAACAGCGTTTTAATAACAGCTAAAGGTGACAGATACTTTATTATGAAATAGTATTTAAATGTAAGCCTGAGAAACACATAATATAGGCCCTTTAAAGGCACAGTGTGTAGGATTTGTTGTTTTCAGCGACATCTAGTGGTTGAGTGGTTGAATCATCCTCCCTGGTCCTCCCCCGACCCCCACCCCCTGCTTCCAAACACAAAGGAGTTGCTACGGTGTCTCTCAGGTGTCAAAAACCTTTGATAATTCCAACCGCGATGTCTACCAGCAGCTTCAGGGCTAGTGATGTTTCAAGTGGTAAGATTATGAGCTTRAATAAGTAAAATTATCCCAGCTACAATGACAGACAACAAATATTACATTTATAGTATTACAACTAAAACCGTTTTTGACACCGCCACCGCAGTTTGGCCTTCATGAGCCTTCATAGACAAGATGGCGGCTGCCTGTGTGGTGACCTGCGACCATGGAGATATAAACAGCTTTTWATAAGGTAAAAATAATAAAACAAAGTCTTTGTCTGCAATGATTAGACATGTTTTTTATTATTGTCATTAGTGATTATCTCAATTTCGGCTAAAAAAAATTGACAAAATCCTACACACTGTGCCTTTAAAAGGAAATAATAGTAAAAAAAGATTTATTTACTGTTTAGATACAGTGTAAAACAGAACAATGACTCAATAAAAATTATTGTGAAAATGTAAACATAATTTGACTTAAAATTTCATGCGGCAAGCTTCTTCCTGTCTCAAATTATTATGACTAATATTCATATTCATATTGATTTTTAGCGATCTTTTTATGGGTTGGTTAGGGATGTTTTGACAAAGCCAAAATGTAACATGTCCCTCCTCATGTACGTCGTTCAAATTCCGTGCAGCTAGCACCTTCCTGTCTCAAGTTATGACTAAAATTAATCTTAAAATGATGCTTCCTGCCTGACAAGCTACTCCACGAGAAGGGCCGTCTCCGCCCACAAGACAACCTGCACTGCAGAGAGACCCCCTTTCTCTTTGATTTCGCACAAGGCCGCTAAACATTTGCAGCTCTRTCAGATGTATTTTGTATTTCTTTACTCATTTAATGCTTTCTTCCTTTAGTTTAAAGTCTGTGGCTCCAATCATACCATCAGGGGCAGACTTCTTCGGCTTCTCTCATCCGACCATCCAGAATCTGATCCAGAGTTGTCCCGGAGCTCGCAAATGTAGCAAGTAAGCTCACTTTGTTCGCAGAAAAACACGTGACCAGCTTCGACACTGTAAAGTTCACTTTTATTTGTTTTTCTTGATGGGTTAGTAGAATMTCTAAACCCAAGCTGACAAATATGAACACTGTCTTCTTTATTTTATATTTTCTGCTGCTCTAAATATGCAGTAGCTTGTCAAAATTCTCCACGCTAAGCTTCTTCAGTTCTGACTGTTTCTGTCTGGGTTTGAAAGAACAGGAAGTGATCAGTGTTTAAGTCGATCAGCGTACCTGCAGTCCACTGGATTTCTTTACAAAAGCTCATTCTGTTGTCTTGTTTTCGACCCGGTTCCTGTAGCTACAGGTGGATTCGGTTCGAGGTGTGTCGTTTRGGGGACAGTCAGGTCCCTCACAGCTTATCGGACGACGACGCCTCCATCAACTTTGAAGCTTACCAGAGACACCAGGTCCTCAACGTGAAGCCGGAGCACATTTCAGGTGCTGCTCAGTTTTACAGKTTTAGGGCAGAGGTGGGCAATCCTGGTGCTCGAGGGCCGCAGACCTGCACATTTTACTTTTTCCCCCTGCTCCAACACACCTTCTGCAGAAACCTGATTTATCACCCATTCATTCAAATCAGGTGTGTTGGAGCAGAGAAACGAATAAAACATGCAGGGCTGTGGCTCTTGAGGACAAGGATTGACCACCCCTGGTGTAGGAGGATTGATGCAGTTGGTATCAACAAATGCATGCTGGTGTCAGGTGTTTTGGTTAAGGTTAGAGTTAGAAATAGACTAGTAATGGTTAAGGTTAGGTTTAAGATAAGTCAATGCAAGTCCACACACAGCTAGGAAAACCTTATGTGTGTAATATAAGGTGAATCAGGCCTAAAATCCTCTTTAAGGTGTAGTCACTTTATTAGTCTTTGCATATTTTAACTCTGACGTAACGATCAGCGTCTCCGTCTTTCCTCAGGACACACACTGCCGTCTCCTGCTTCCTCTCATCAGCACCAGCTGACCTCCCCCTCCATGAAGCCCTCCACGTCCTATTACAGCTCCTAAGATTCTTCTCCATTTCCCATAAAACCACACCATGAARAGTCCTCCTCAATTTATTTTTCCTGTAGTTTAAAAACTCAAATCTGAGGCAAATGTTTGTGTTGAAAACTTTGAACAGCGTCACTGATGTGGACTTCATATAGCTGCTGTATGACTTGTTCTTTATGTGCCAGAAACAATAAATCCAACAGTTTATGTACATTTGTTACGTTGTGGAAACTGAATCATCTTTATTTATGATGAGTTTAAAGATAAGAAGTTTACATTTTTGTATGTATACTTGTTATTCTGTTGGACTGGTTTTTATCTGACGCTGTACTTATGCTCAGCTCTTTGTTTTACAGATTAAACAAGATGTTTGTAAAAAAAAACTCAAATTAGCTCAAAGGTTTAAACAATAAACTGTAACCCCTACAATCCACTTGTATCCAAAAATCAATCWATCAATCAATCAATAGCCCAGTATTTTTAAAGGCTCAGAAATATGTAGAATGTGTAGAAAAACAAACAATCTCAAAGCCAAAATTATATGAATTATTTATTTATTTGTATTTAAATTCTTTGAGTTGATCCAGGTTAGCGGTGGCATCGTACTTTAAAATGATGAAACAGTGAAGTTAAACGTTCTTACAAAAATCTGATTTAAAKTAAAGTAAAACTTTACGTTGATTTAATTTTCATTCATTTAATTTGCAATGATATAAAATGATTATAAAAAAATCTTAACATTCATTTAAAATTGATCAACAGGACACAATCATAAAGTGCAGCATATACAGTGGGGAAAATAAGTATTTAGTCAGTCACCAATTGTGCAAGTTCTCCCACTTAAAAAGATGAGAGAGGCCTGTAATTGACA